GATCGGCAGCTGAGGGTGTACAGCAGTGGCCCCTATGATAAATTTGTAATCTTGACTCCTAGCATAGCAAGGACATCCCCTCCTATTAGTGGTGGAGAGTTTTGCAAAATGTAGGGGTAAATTGCTACTGTCTGTTCTGGTCCCTTGTTTGTGTGAAGTGTGATAGCCACCTGCTGGGTGCTTTTCCACGCCCGGGTTTGTCCCCCCACCCCGTTCACTGGGGGGACTTCCTTAAACCGCCAATGTCTGGGCCAATGTCGCTGAGGGAGAATTGTGCAGTCTGATCCCGTGTCTACCCAAAACTGAAGTCCTACAGTGTGGGGGTCTTGACTGCCATAGAGGCGGCATGTCCCCCACACCCTCGGGGGTTCCTTCCCTATTCTCATGGCCAGGGCCACCCAGGGGTCCCGGTTTGGGGCGTCCCCTGCTGGCCCTGTTGCGCTTGCGTGGCTTGTGATGATGGGGGGTGCGAGGGTGCAGTCGGTGGTGCTGCATAGTTCTGCCATTGTATCGCTGGCAGGGGTGCAATATTGACTGTCTCCTGTGGGAGCATAGGGTATGAGGATCCCCTGCCCCACTGTGGGTTGGCATAGATGGGCCGTCTCGCATCCAGAGTGGGAGGGGGCTGAATATGGCCCGCACGCCCCCCCCCTCTCCCGTTTCCCCGGGGCCGGGATCTACAGTCCCTAGCGAGGTGACCTCTCTTCCCACAGCTCCAGCAGATCCCTCTGGGGCGCTGTTGGGGCGAGGGTGTTGCCTGGGGACGCTGTGCCGGCTGGGGGCAGTTAGCCGCGACATGACCTGACTGACCACACTTGAAGCAGGCCATCACACTGGTTAGGGTGTGTACGGTTGCCTGAAGTGGGGTCAGCTGCTCTTCCCTCACAACATGCTTAATCATGTCAGCCAGGCTGGCCCCGGCTGGTAGGGAACGCAATATATCTTTGGTTATGGTGTTACATTGTTGCCGAAGGCAGTCAGTTACCACCGGGCCTTTTGCGACAGCGGGAAGATTAGAAGAGTCCACGGCAGCCTGAAGGCGGTCAACAAATTGTGTAAAGCTTTCACTCTCCCCCTGTTTGATGGTCGACCATGGTGTCGGTCTGGCCACCACCCTGGATGCGGCGCGTATAGCTTCTCTGGCCGCCCGGGAAGTCGCCCTGACTTCCTCGATCCGAAGCTGGGCAGCTTGTTGCTGGGGTGTGGCCACTTCGTCGTGCTTCCCCAACAACCTAGATAAACTCGACCCGTGGAGTGGCTGCCCTTCTCCCGCCGTCTGAGCGAGCATGGTTGCACATTGGTCCGTCCATTCCTGCTTAAATATTATCAAACCCGCCCCATCAAAAAGCATACGGCTTATTTGCACTATATCGAAAGGGAGTAAATCATCATTGCTAAAAAGACCATCCACGAGAGTGGAAACCACCCCTGAGTTAATTCCTTTTTCTGAAATGGCTTTTACTATTGTTTGAACATCTTTGGAATTAACGGGAGTATACGTTCTTTGCTGGTTCCCCTGGGGTCCCGTAATTCTCACCGGGAATGCATGCACTGATGCTGCGGATGCCCATTCCGCGCATTCGATTTTGATTTTACCCCAGTCGGTGAGTTCGTATTGGGGCTGGTTCCCGGTTGTGTTAAAAGTTTTAATTGGTTTCGTCCGAAACCGCATTGATTCTGTTTTCTCTGCTTCCGAGTCGCTGCTGGACTCGGTCGGCTCCGCAGAGCGATCCGGGGAGCTGTGGCTCCCTTCAGAGTCGGAAGTCGACTGCCAATATACTTCCGGTCTCTGCCGCCGTTTTGTCCGGCTACGGCCCCGCTCCTCCCCTCGGGGGCGGTGCTGATGTTGCTGGCGGTGCCGCCCCCTGGGCTCGCCCTGCCTCCCGCAGGGAGGGATCTCTCCCATATATGGTGGCATCAGGAGGCGCGGCTCCAGAGCGAGTGCCTGCCCTCTGTTGCACCCCCACGCATGCGCGTCTGCTGGGACCCACGGCGCTCGGCCGGGCATGGGCTCAGCGCTGGTTTCCCGCGCATGCGTGTTCGCGGCTGGCCGCGGTTCTGGGTTCGTCCCGCCGCGAGCCGGCGGGCTCCACCCCTCTCCCCGGCCACCCGCGCCATATTCAAACGGGTAGGGCGGCGGTTCCCCTCCGCCGCTCGCCCGCGCGCCAGCCCTCTCGATATTTCGGGCTTCTGTCGCCAGCCCCTCCCAAAAGGACCGTGCGAGTCCCTCCGCTTCTTGCGCTAAGTCGGCTAGCGGCGGGGAAGGGTTGGGCGAGGGGTCCGCGGGCACCCCGGGGGGCTCCGGAGGTGGTCTGGGCCCCGGCGGGTCCCCCGAAGGGGTCAGGGGGTCCCCCGGGGGCTCTGAGAGCTCCGGGGGCTTTGGGCTGGAGGAGGGATGAGATGCGCCCGGCCCCCCCGTCTCCCCGCTCTCAATCGGGTCGCCGCCAGGGGGGTTTCGCGTTCCCGCCCCCTCCCCCTGCTGTGGCGCGATTAACAAACAGGAGCGCGCAACGTTCCACGTCTCCTGTTCTTCTAATGCTTTGCGTAGGGCGGCTTCTGCCTTCCCCCACGCTTTCAGGCTTTTGCTGCTGCCTGTGGCTTTTGTGTCCTCTGCTAGCGCGACAGTACATTTCTGCCACACCCCAGGGTGTAATATATCTATGGGTCGAGAAATAACCCCAAGCTCTAGGAGTCTCGTCAAAGCGAGATTAAAATTCCTGAGCTCACATTTGATTCCCCATTGCATATGTATCAAACTTACGACCTTCGCTATCGCTTCCATACGAATCGCGGGTCTCTGGGGCGTCCCCCTTCTTCGTTATGGCCGTTCCGGCGTTGAGTGCTGTCCCCTGGCCAGGAGTACTCCCGTCGCCCGGACTCGTCCCTCCGTCCTGATCCCGGGTTTCGGCACCACTATGTTGCCTTCTTGTGAAGGCCGCGATGACCTGGTTTCAGGGCCCAGCACTTCGATCTCCTTTCGTGGGATCCCTTGTGGCCAATAACGGACGCTGACACCAATGTGGTGGACGGTTAAAGGCCTTTATTGAGGGGTCTTTAGGGTATTTATGGACTGAGGGGTCTCTCTACGTCAGACAGGGGTTTGGCTATACTTTCTAGGGTTAGTATGGAGTGGAAAGTTACTGGCATGCATAGGTTAGGGGGGCTACACGTCTGGCTACATTCCAAGGGTGATCCTTATCTATGGGGAGGGGGATAGAAGGATTCCTGTAACTTTCCGTTACAGCCCGAAATCTTCCGAGCGCCTGTCCCTGGCCTACCACACTAGTTTTAGGTTATAATAAAATGTTAAAATAGAACTATGCTATGTGAGATACTTTTTTAAAGAGAGGACTCGCAGCGAGATAGCAGGCACAGGACACCTAAATTTTTCAGAGAAAGAGAATTTATTGCTCTCTTATCAGGAGAAACGAACTTCTTCCTGCCTCACTTAGCCCTGAAGAGACGCTGTCAGGATTCAGAGGAAGAAGCTGACACTGACCAGACAGAATCCTGTGTTTCAATGGAATTTATGCATCATGTATGAAGTGTATGAATATGCAACAGGCTGTTGTTTTTAAGGGTTAATCCTCTGTTAACTTGTGTCCCTTTTCGGGCTTATGCTGCCTAGAGGCACCTTTTTCCGAGCAAAATAAGCCCGAAAAGGGACACAAGTTAACAGAGGATTAACCCTTAAAAACAACAGCCTGTTGCATATTCATACACTTCATACATGATGCATAAATTCCATTGAAACACAGGATTCTGTCTGGTCAGTGTCAGCTTCTTCCTCTGAATCCTGACAGCGTCTCTTCAGGGCTAAGTGAGGCAGGAAGAAGTTCGTTTCTCCTGATAAGAGAGCAATAAATTCTCTTTCTCTGAAAAATTTAGGTGTCCTGTGCCTGCTATCTCGCTGCGAGTACCTCATGGCTTTCTTTAAAAAATATTTCACATACATAGTTTCTATTTTAACGTTATGTTATAACCTAAACTGTGTTTAATACACTACTTAAAAATATTACAGTGTAACTTTCTAAAATGACACATATAATATTCATTTGAATATTTGCAAAGAGCCAATCATAAAATATGCATTTTTCATACCATGGGTCTCCCTTGTCCATGGTCCCAACATCTCCAGGCTGCCGGGGTTCCCCCTATCCGGGCTCCCCGTTCCTGGCTCCCGGGTCCCCCTTATGGGGATGTCCGACCCTGCAGGCTGCAGAGGCTCCCCCAGATCCGGTGCCGCCCTATCCGCTCTCCCAGTCCCCAGCCCGCCGGTCCCGGGCGATCCCCCCGTGGCTCCGGGCTGAGGATGCAGCGCCTGCCCCGGGCAGCCCAACCCCCCCAGGGAGGGTCCCACGCACCCCCGGCCCAGCACCGGGGCTCTGCCGGCACCAACACCAGGACCCCCAAAATTCTGCCGGGCCGGAGCCGCCGAGAGGCGCCCGGCCCTTGGCCCTGGTGTAGATACATATTGCAATATTGGCTTTGCGCAAATGTTAACATGGATTTTATATGGGCGGTCTTAAAATAACTTTGTTATAAAGATACAGTTTTGATTTCTGTAGTTAATTATAAGCTTAGACATAATAGTGAAATAGCTGATATAAGTGTGCTTGTGTTACAATGCCTGCTTGGCTGGGATAACATCCAATGAACATGGGATGAAGACACCTGGTACAGATGTGCCAGCCATCAGCACTCACCGTCTGAAGGCAGTGTGGGCTGTGGCCAAAACTGAAGATGATGATAAAAAAGGAACAAAACCACAACCACGGAATACACATGCTCTAAAACGGTGGAATCGAGGAGGAGCCACGCTAAACAGTTCTTGGAATATGGAAACCAGTTTGGGAAAAAAGTTTACTATGCATGAGTGTCTATGAATATGCAACAGGCTGATGGAAGGCAAAGATATTTAAGGGATATCCCGAAGATTACAGGGTAGTCTTGGTTCAGTGCCAAGTTGCACCCGGCCGTAATAACCTTTGCTCCACGGACCTTGTCTCCTCTTGTCCTTTATTAAACTCTTTGAATTTTCACAGGAGACTGAACGTGTTTCTCAGAGCCCCGAGCAGAGAGTTCTGCCCGGGTGCTCCGGGCAAAGGCGGCGGCGCTCGGCAGCGGCCCCAGCCCGCCCAGCCCCGGGAATTGCCCCGCATCGGGACAAAATCCTGCCCTGAAGGAGCCCTTGGAACGCCCGCCCGCGGCTCCTCCGTGCCCCAAAGCTGCCGGTGCTGCCCCGGTGCTGCCGCAGCTGCGGCTCTGGAGCAGGGGGGCTCTGCGGGACCCCGGGCTGGGCCCCCTCCCAGCCGTGCCCGCCCCGGGGCTGATGCTCGGCCCGGGCTCTCTCGCTGCTCCGGCTCCCGCACAGCCCCGCTCTGAGCGGGCACCGAGCGCCCAGCGCCGCAGGGCCCCGAGCCCCTGCCCGGCCCAGGGTCAGTGTCCATCGCTCCGGCCACTGCCCGGCCCCGGCACAACCTGCAGCTCCCAGCACAGCTCCCTCCAGCCGGGCACTGCGGGCTCCCGCCGGGCACAACATTCCGTTCATGGCATCTCTGGTGTCTCTGCTCACACGGGCACAGCCAGCTGCTGCTGAGGCAATCCCAGCTCCCGCTGAAGGCTTCCCACACAAACTGCTGCCTTCAGCTCTCACACACCATCAAGGAATCCAAGAGCAAAGCTGAAATCTGATTAGAGAATCTTGCAAAATCACATCCCAGAACATTCTGTTATAAAATCACAAACGTTAACAGAAGCTGAGAAAGTCAACAACCTTAGAAAACAAGCTTCCAGCACGGGGACTAGAAGAGCTCAGGCAATGCATTTGACTGGAATGAGCCATTCTCTTTCTGACAGGTGAGCAATGCCATGGAATTTCCCAAACCAGGGAAACAGGGAGCCCTGGCAGCAGCAGCTTCACACACAGCAATGACAAAGAACAGGGCAGGGCAAGAGGCTGACAAAATTATAACTTCTACTTGCAATTAAGAACTTTTCTTTTGAGTTCTACTATAGCCACTACTTATAGAGTCAAAAATACTAAAAATATTAGTAGTCATAAAAATAATAATGTTAATAGCAATAATAGTGACAATAGCAAAAAGAAGAATTAATAATGGTAATAAAAACCCTACCATGCTTATACTTGGTTTGCATGGCCAGGTTTTGGTAAGGGGAGCTCGAGGAGCACCTTCTGTGAGAGGCTGCTGGAAGCAGCTGCTCCTCTGTGTCCCACAGAGTCAATTCCAGCCAGCTCCAGGATGCACCAGCCGCTGGCCAAGGCTGGGCCAATTGGAAATGGCGGTAACACCTTTGGGGCAAGAGATTTAGGAAAATGGGTGATGGTGTAGGTGTAACTGTGAGCAGGGAAGAGCAGGGTGAGAACACGTGAGAGGAGCAACTCTGCACACCCCAGGGCAGGGCAGGAGGAGGGGCAGGAGCTGCTCCAGGGGCTGGAGCTGATTGCCCTGAGATTCCCTGGGCAGCCCCTGGGGAGGCAGCTGGGCCCCTGCAGCCCATGGAGGGCCCGGAGAGCAGAGATGCACCTGCAGCGCCTGGAGGAGCCCGTGCTGGAGCAGGGGGTGCCTGAGCAGGGGCTGGGACCCCATGAGAAACCTGTGCTGGAGCAGGGACCTGGCAGGGACCTGCAAAGCCGTGGAGAGAGGAGCCCACGCTGGAGCAGGGTCCTGGCAGGACTTGTGAGCCCATGGGAGAGTGCGGCAACTGCAGCAGTTTGTGAAGAGCTGCTGTCCGTGAGATGAACTCACCCTGCAGAAGTTCATGGAGAAGTGTCTCAGGAGGGACCCCTGGCACAGCAGGGGAATGACTCCTCTCCCCGAGCAGCAGAGAAACAACGGGTGATGAACGGAGCAGAGCCCCCAGTGCCTGTCTGCCTGCACCACTGGGGGAGGAGCAGAGCTGGGAAGGAGGGAGGAACAGGCAGAAGGTGTTTGTTAAGCTTTATTTTACTTCTCACTATCCTGCCCTGATCTGGATAGAAATAAATTCAATTAATACCTGTAATTTCAAAAATGTTTTGCCTATGATGGCATTTGCTGAATGATCTGTCCCAGTTCTTAACTCAAGCCATGAAGCCTTCATTCTGTTTTTTCTCCTGTCCATCTCTGGAGGGGAGTGAGAGAGCAGCTTTGGTGGGTGCCTGGCATCCAGGCAGGGCCAAATGGCTACATGTTTCTCTTTTCTTTTTACCCTTTTTCTTTCCTTTCCTTTCCTTTCCTTTCCTTTCCTTTCCTTTCCTTTCCTTTCCTTTCCTTTCCTTTCTCCTTTCCTTTCCTTTCTCCTTTCCTTTCTCCTTTCCTTTCTCCTTTCCTTTCCTTTCTCCTTTCCTTTCTCCTTTCCTTTCTCCTTTCCTTTCCTTTCTCCTTTCCTTTCTCCTTTCCTTTCTCCTTTCCTTTCCTTTCTCCTTTCCTTTCTCCTTTCCTTTCTCCTTTCCTTTCCTTTCTCCTTTCCTTTCTCCTTTCCTTTCTCCTTTCCTTTCCTTTCTCCTTTCCTTTCCTCTTTCCTTTCCTTTCTCCTTTCCTTTCCTTTCTCCTTTCCTTTCTCCTTTCCTTTCCTCTTTCCTTTCTCCTTTCCTTTCCTTTCTCCTTTCCTTTCCTTTCTCCTTTCCTTTCTCCTTTCCTTTCTCCTTTCCTTTCCTCTTTCCTTTCTCCTTTCCTTTCCTTTCTCCTTTCCTTTCCTTTCTCCTTTCCCTCTCTCATTCTTTCTTTCCTGTTCTTTTGTTCTTTCCAGAGGTCACAGTGCAGAGGTTGAGTGGGGCTTTGATGGAGGGAGTGGAGGTGGCAGGGAGTAGCGGGGACAGGAGGCACAGGGCTGTGGCACAGGCACCCGAGGGGCCTGGGCAGCTGGCAGGGGGCAAGGCCTGTCCCCCTGGGCCAGCAGCAGCCCCGTGCCCTGCCCAAGGCGCTGCCAGCAGGGGCTGGGCCCCAGAGGCAGGGGCAGAGCCCAGCCCCGGGGGCGGCGTTTGTGCCCCGAGCCCCGTCCAGCCCAGCCTGCCCCGAGTGCGCAGTGAGTGCTGGCATGGCTACCCTGGACAGCGTGGCCTGCTGGGGACACTGAGAGCTGCCCCGCTGTGACCCTGCCCGGGGCACTGCACAGGCACCAACCCAACCCCAGCCAGCAGCACCCCTGGGCATGGCCCAGGCACTGGAGAGCATCACAGCCAGCCCTGCTGCTGCTGGGGATGTCCCAGGCACCAGAGCCCATCCCAGCCCTGCTGCTGGGGATGTCCCAGGCACCAGAGCCCATCCCAGCCCTGTTCCTGGGATGTCACAGCCCCTACAAGTGCACCAGGTGTGGGAAGAGCTTCTCCCAGAGGTCAGCCTTGACCCAACACCAACGCAGCCAGCACTGAGGGAAGCCCTGCCAGTGCCCCCAGTGTGGGAAGAGCTCCGTGCGCTGCTCCAGCTCCATCCCCACGGGAGGATCCGCGCTGGATGATCCCCAGTGACCCCGGTGGGCAGAGCCCCGGTGATCTGTGGTGCTGGTGATCCCTGGTGGGAAGACACCTGGCTGAGGGCTCCACATCCTCCTGGCTCCTCATGGCCTGGATCTTCTTTTCACATTTCTTCATTCTTTCCAAACACCCAAAACCTGGGTAAAAATAAAGATGTTGAACTAAGATGGGGCTAGAGAAGTGGGGGGCTGTTCCAGAGGTGTGGGGGATGCTGGGTCCGAGGGAGCTGAGAGCTCCCGGGAAGGACTTGGGGCTTGCTCAGGGCTTTGGGGACACGAGGCCAAGTGGCTCCGGGTGCTTTGGAAGATGCTGGTGGAGATTCTGGGGCTGCTGATCAAGGACCTCCTGGCCTGGAACTGTCCCTGTGTCCCCTTGTCCCGCTTCTTGGTGTCCCCTGTAGCGGATACCCCCCTCCCTGCTGTCACTCCCCTTTCTTCCGCCCATTCCCGTGTCACCCCACTCCCAGTCCCGTCCTGCTCCATTCCCAGTATGGATCTCATTCCCCATTCCCATTCCTTGTCCCCATTCCCGGTCCCCATTCCCTGTCCTCATTCCCATTCCCTGTCCTCATTCCCATTCCCTGTCCCCATTCCCATTCCCAGTCCCAGTCCCGGTCCCGGTCCCGGTCCTGGTCCTCATTCCCCATTCCCATTCCCTGTCCCCATTCCTATTCCCCATTCCCCGTCCCCATTCCTATTCCCCATTCCCCACCCCCATTCCCCATTCCCCACCCCCATTCCCTGTCCCCATTCCCGGCTACCTCTCCCCGGACGCCGCCGCCATCGCTCCGGCCCCCCCACGGCCCTCACGTGACCGTGCAAACCCCGCCCTTCTCCCGCCCACCAATCCCAGCGCGCGATCGCTCCATGATTTGCATAACCACGCCCTTGCCTTCGGCCCCGCCCCCGCCGGCTGCACCGCGTCCGGGCGCTGTTTGCTCCCAGTAAGAGCGGGACCGGCAGGGAGAGCGCTCCCAGTTCCCGCCCGCTGCTCTCACCATCGTTCCCAGTGTTCCCAGTATCGCTCCCAGTGCCGGGCGTGGCGGGGCCGCTTTGGAACCCCCCCCAGGGCAGAGCGCGGCTGCTTTTGGGTGCCGGCACTGCCCGGGCCGGGCTGGGAGCGGAGGAGGAGCGGGAGGGAGAGGAGGGACAGAGGAGGAGGAAAAGGAAAGGGAAAGAGAGAGAGAGGAGCGGGAAGAAGAGGAGGGCCAGAGGAGGAGGAAGAGGAGCAGCGGGAGGAGGAGCCACAGCACCAACCCCACGCGGTTCCCCCGCTCGGGCCGCGGCTGCCCCGGTTCCGCCCCCTCCGGAAGCCGCAGGTGAGCGGGGAGGGGGAGTCGCCCCAAATCCATGGCGGGGGGGTCTCCACAGGGATTTTTGTCGGGGCGGGGATGTTTGGATCTTGCAGGAGCCCAAAGCCGACCCGGAAATGGCCCTGCAGGGATCTTGGGGGGTCCCACGGGGCGCTGGCCCGGTACCGGCAGGGAGGGGGCGATCCCGGCTTTGGGGATCCCCGGGAGAGCCGGGGGGAACGCGGGAGCCCCGGAGTGGGGAGAGCCCTGGAGTGGGGCGATCCCGGTGCAGAGGGACCTCCGGCAGCCTGGAGGGGTGGGGGAGGCTGGGGATTAGCGGGGTCCGGGCTCCCCGAGGCTGAAAGGGGCGCTGACTTCTCCAGCTGCACTTGGGCACTGGGATCATCAAACCCAACACGCTCAGCCCTTGTTTTGCCCTCCCAAAACAGGATTTCCCATTCCCAAACCTTGGCCTGTGGGATCTCAGCACATCGTTCCCGATGTCCAGAGATGCCAGGAGAACCCTTGGGGGTCTCGAAAATCCTGGAATGTTGCCAAGAGTGTTTGGTGGCTTGATTTTGATCCATCCACAGAAGTAACAAGAGTTTGAGGACAAGAGAATCACTTTAGAGTAAAAGGTGTAAAAGAGACACATTTAGAGGGTGAGATATAGACTTTAAGGTTTTTGGTACAGGGGGGTTATGGAGACAAGATGGAGGGATTAGGGCGTGTCTCGTCCTTCTTCTTTCTTCTTCTTGTCCTCCATCTCCTGTGATGATGTTGGCACTTGGGGATTGGTTTATGGTGAAGGTGCACTTGCTAACATGGGTGAAAAGCATTGGGAAATAAAGGTAAATATTGTGTACGTAGATTTTAGTATAAAAAGACATGACCGCCCCGTGGGTGGTCAGAGAGTGCCTGTGACTGCTTGCAGATCAGACCTCTGTTGGGCAGACAGAAAAATTTTGTAGATAAGAAATAATAAACAACCTGAAGACCGAAAAGCTGAAGAGTCCAGACTCGTCCTTTGCATCGCGTGCCACCCAAGAACCACTCTACCCGTGTCGGGGCAGAGACAGACAGCCGGACCCGACATTGGCCAGGTGGAGGAAGAGGCTGCGAGGAGGAAAAAGATGTCCCAGAACACCTAGACAGGTGAGGAGGAAGTCAGTGCCCTTTTCCCCCTCTCTCCTGCTCCATCTCCCAGCCCAGCACGGCCCCCGGCTGCAGGACAGCCCCACTGCTGATGCTGTCCAGCCAGGGATGCACTGGGGAGATCTCCTTCCCCTTCCCTGTGGCATGGAGGAAAATCCCATCCTCTCCTTGTCCTTCCTCCCCCAGGGAAGGAGCTGAGGATGGAGAGCAGGGAGGACAAATCCCCACAGCAGAACCTCGTGGCAGAGGCTGTTTTGAGCAGCTCCAGGGCACAGGAATCCAACGGGGAGGAAAAGTCCCGAAGATCCTGCACAAGGAGGGGATGCAAACGCAGATCATGGGGATCCTAGGAGGAAAGACCCACCTTGGGTTGGGAAGGTGACCACAGCTGGAAGTTGGGGGTCCCTGAGTGTTGTATTGCACTAAATAGTTTATTTAGTAGTTGTTCTGCACTGGGTAACGGGAATTTTGTACTGAGTGTAGTCTGTCATGTAGATTATTCCCCCTTCCTCATCACATGGTTTCTCCCCATGCACTCCTTTCTACACACCTGGTGGTCTGCCCCATGGATACCCCTCCCCTCGCTCCTCCCCAGTGGCATCCCATTGGCCACGGTCCTCTTTCCCCGCCCCCTTTCTCCTGGGGGATAAAACCCCACTGCAGGTAAAGATTTGGCCTCTTTTGCCACCTGGGTGGTCGCTGCGGCCAGCAGTGTCCCATCACAAGCCAATAAACAGGATACTTGTCCCCATGTGGTGGAAGAGCGCTTCTTGTCTTTAATCTTCAGTCCATGCAGGTCTGTGTGGGCTTGGGTTCCAGCTAGCCAGATTGGACCTATACAAAGCCCAGAGAACTGCAGATTACGGCACCTGAGCAGCTTCAGGATGGGGAGAAGCCACACAAGTGCTCGGAATGTGGGAAGAGCTTCAGGTGGAGATCGTCCCTGATCAACCATTGGAGAATCCACTCAGAGGAATGGCCCTACGAGTGTGGGCAGTGTGGGAAGACCTTCAGGTGGAGCTCCTGCCTGAACTCCCACATGGGAATCCACACCAGGGAGAGGCCCTATGAGTGTGGGCAGTGTGGGAAGAGCTTCAGCCACAATTCCAACCTGATCTGCCACCAGTGCGTCCACACCGGGAGAGGCCCTACCAATGTCCTGAGTGTGGGAAGAGCTTCAGAGCCAGATCCAGCCTGATTTTCCACCAGAGGAGCCACACGGGGAACGGCCCTACGAGTGTGATAAATGCAGCAAGAGGTTTCAGATCAGCTCCAATCTCCTCCATCACCAGCGCACTCACACAGAGGAGAGGCCCTTCCACTGCCCCGACTGCAGAAAGGGCTTCAGGGACAAGTGCAGCCTCCTCAGGCTCATCCACTCCAGGGAGAGGCCCTACGAGTGTCCCAGGTGTGGGAAGACCTTCAGTTTGAGGTCCAACCACCAGAGCAGCCATACGAAGGAACAACCCTACGAGTGTGGGGAATGTGGGAAGAGCTTCGCCTACAACTCCAGCCTGATCCACCACCACAAGATTCACACTGGGGAGAGGCCCTACGAGTGTGATAAATGCAGGAAGAGGTTTAAGACCACCTCCAATCTCCTCCATCACCAGTGCACTCACACAGAGGAGAGGCCCTTCCGCTGCCCCGACTGCAAGAAGGGCTTCAGGGAGAACTCCACCCTCATCAGGCGCCAGCACATCCACACTGGAGAGAGGCCCTACGAGTGTCCCCAGTGTGGGAAGAGCTTCAAGACCAGCTATGAAGTGTCTGCCTACCAGAGGAGCCACAGGGGGGAACGGCCCTACGAGTGTGGGGAGTGTGGGAAGAGCTTCAGGACAAGCGCCCACCTGAGTGCCCACCAGCCCATCCACAGCGGGGAGAGGCCCTAGGAGTGTGCCTGGTGTGGGAAGAGCTTTTCCTAGAGGTCAGCCTTGACCCAGCACAAACACAGTCAGCACTGAGGGAAGCTGTGGGAGTGCTCCCAGGGCGGGAAGAGCTTTGTGTGCTGCTCCAGCTCCACAGCTCCATCCCTCATTGGAGGATCAGCACTGGATGATCCCCAGTGACCCCGTTGGGCAGAGCCCTGGTGATCCGTGGTGCTGCTGATTTGTGTCAGGAAGACACCTGGCTGGCTCCTGGCTCCCTATGAGCACCTGGACACATCCACAGACCAACATCAGAAATCCATTGTGGAGAGCTGTCGCCCTGACTTTTGAAGATTTTTCTAAGCCTTCTGATGTTTACATTCTTGTAGCAAACTTTCTCACACACTTCCTGTAAATAACTTATTGTTTTGCATTCTTTTATGGAGGAGAAGAAATTTGATGGACTGTTGGTTTGCCATTGGAGAGGTGGCACTGTCACCCTCCAATCCACTGTCATTTTTGGAAAACTATACATGTTGGAGTCAGAAAATAAACTTCCCTTTTTTCACCTTGAGAACAGTGGTATGTGCACTCATGTTGTTTCATGTCCTATAGAACATCGAGCATATTTGTCGACTTCTGACCCCAGAAAAATCTCACTTCTTGCGTCTTCCTGGTGGCATCAAGTAACACTGGATGGCCTTGGAGGTCTTCTCCAATACAAATCCATCATTTTAATTCTCTCTGCCCCACAGGCATCTTCCACAACCAAGTCAGGTCAGACTGGGGCAAAACCCATGATTTTGGAGACAGTGGGGTGGAAACCCCTCCAAAAAAGGTTCTTCCCACCCACCCAAGCACGTTGGATGCTCTTCTGGCAGGGACACATAAATCCTTTTGATTTTGCCTTCAAACACAAAGGTTTCTGTTCATACCTTTGAAAGCCCTGAAATTGGGGTAAAAATACAGACATTGAACTAAGGCTTGGTTGGGCACACATGGGGACACAGCCCTGGGTGGGGACCTGAGTTGGAAGTGGCCATGGACAGGGACATGGGGGGACACAGCCATGGATGGTGACATGGGAGGACATGAACATGGATGGGGACATGAACTGGGACAGCATCAAGGCCACCACCTGTGCCACCACAGTGCCACCAGCACCTTCATCTCAGCCATAGCGCTGCCTGATGCAGTTCCTGCCACTATGTCCCCCCTGCCACCATTGTGGTGTCCCAGCCAAATGTCACCACCCACCAGGGCAGGATGGGAACTTGTTCAGCTGGTGACAAGTGGCCCAGGAGAGAGTGACAGCCACCAGGGTGTCCCAGGGCCACCACGCTCAGGGGATCCCAACTGCCCCTGGGGACAGGGCAAGGGTCAGTGTCACCCACAGGGGCCATGTGGGCCCATGCTGGGTGTCACTGGAGGCATCCTGGTGGCAGCGTCCCCACAGGTGTGGTGACATTGTCCCCTGGTGTGTGTCCTAGTGGCATCATATCCCTTACATGTTGATGACCCAAGTTACATCATCCTTGATCTCCTCCCCAGTTCTAGAATGTTCCCCACTCCCACTTTCCTATTGGTTCCCATTCCCTGCAGCTCCTCCCCTGAATCCCAGTTGGTTGTTGCCCTTTTGTCCCGCCTTTGCACCACCCTTGTTCCCTCTGCCCATTGGCCCTCAGGCCCAAAGTGCGGTGGTGTTTGCAGGGTTCCCAGGACGAAGGAAGA